AATTAATTTACACTTTGAGCAGTCTTGGAGAAGAAAATGAACATACAGTTTGGATTATGTATTTATAATTTTACTTATGAGTCAAAAAAATCAGGTACATGTTGAAAATGAAACAGCATTTCTATTAATCCATTTTAATTAGGATTATGGAACACAATCGCTTCCATACATTTTCATATATTGTTTGACTTTGAATCAGGAACTGGGCCTGGTCATCACTGGAACACTGCCAGTGTTCAACAGAACCAAGACCATTGATGACAGAAATGGCGAGGTAAAGCCTATTAACACATGATGATTAGTGTTATCATGGTGTTATTCCTCATCTGTTCTCTTCTCTCCATCAGCATCAGAATCAGTTGATTCTTGGTGTAATGGCAATTGATGTGTCTCTTAATGACATCAAGAAGCTGACACCACGGTTCACAGTGAGTTCAACTACAATATGTGTGATCACGTGGTACACAGACAGAAAATATCTGTCAAGGTCACTCATTATGTTAAACTGCTTTATATGATCAGAGCATGGGACTTTTGGTATGTCATACATTCATTTTCTGTATATTTTTTGTGATCTTTTCAACAAAGATTTAAGAATTTTTAAATTCTTAAATGTTTTAAACCTCCTGTTTTTAACATGAAAAGTCATAAATCAAGCAAATTCCACACAAAAAGGCTCTGCTAATAATTCACATCTTTAACCTTTCTGCTTAAAATTGACGATATTCATTCAGTCTTCCACATGACATCTCAATCTCATCATGCTATCAGTGTATTAGCATTAATGGTTTCTGTTTGATATATACTATATATATATATATATATTCCCTTCTTTGTTCATCTCTACACCAGATTGGTCCAAACGGTTACTACTTTGCCATCGATCCGAATGGATATGTCCTCCTGCATCCCAATCTACAGCCAAAGGTACAACATCTGGGTTCATGCATGACTAAGTATGAACCAGCATATAAATGTGTTGGTGTATGAAATTAAATTCTGACTATTCTACATAGTTTCACTGTAGCTGGTTGAAGTCAGTGAATAGTAATCTGCCTGGCAGATGGCAAAGGCTCTTTTCAAATTTTTCCGTGTGCCGCCGCCTAATCAATCTTCATAATAAGAACCTATTCTCCAGTTAGAATATGAATTTGATATAATCAGCCCTTAGACATTGGCTGGAAGGTCACTTCTAGCATATGGGACGGCATAGATATGAGGAGCTGGCACTGATCTGGCATACATGTTTGAGAATAAGGGATAAAAAGAAACTCAGTGGCACTTTCCAGACTGAATTAGTTCTAAAGTTTCCTAGCATGCCTGAGACTCAAATTTAATCTATTTTGTTTTTCTTCCTTGTTTAGAGGATAAAAAGCAGTCTAGAGGACAATAAATACATTATTATGTTTGGTTACCAATATCTCTTTTCATATATATATATA